GCTTTCCTCCCTTCTAACTTCAGCAAAAGCTTCACGAATGGGAGGAAAAGGTCGGACACTCATGATTCTCCCCCTGACCTGATCTAGGTTCTTGTTTAAACCTAATAAAAATCTGAAGGTTCTCTTTTGCTCAACAATATTTTTGTAAAGTGCAGAATCATCAGGACACTTCCAAGAGTATACTTCAAACATATCAAGGTGTTGCCAGTACCTTGTTATCGTGTTGTAATATTGTGTGACATTGGAGTCCCCTTGCTTTAACTCAAATAGCTTGGTTTCAGTTTCAAACAGTTCTGAAGTGTTTTCAGAACTGGAATATGTGTCACGTGCTCCATCCCAAATTTCTTTGGCGGTACGATAGAGGAGAAAATTTTCTCCAATCTCAGAAAGCATGGAGTTGATTAACCAGGACATTACCATATGGTTTTCAAATTTCCATTGGCGATAGCTAGTATCAGTTTCCTTAGGCTTCACGATTTCACCTGAGGTATTCGTCTTTCCCTCTACCAGAGACATACATGAGAACTGACTGGGACCATTGAAGGTAGTTGTGGCCGTTGAGCTTATGAGAGGTGATTGGGAGAGGAGAACTATCAAGGACTTGAGGAAGGTTAGGATGATTTGTGACAGTCGAGTGAGAAGGATGTAATGACCCATCTAAAGGTGAGGAATCAACTGGAAGGGTTTCAATAGGTTTAGACATAGTTGCTGGAGAGATTTGGTGAGGGAGGATAGAGAAGAGCTAGGGGTTTAGAGTCAGGCTCTTGATACCATGTAAGAAATTCTGAATAGTTCTACTTCTCAATTGAAAAATACAAGCCCTAATTTATACAAAGAAGAAGATTGATTATAGGGAAGAGAATGAGAATCCTATAATCAGGGAAAGTAAATAAAAGGATCACTAAACTAGGAAAGAATAAAATCATATCACTAATTACAGATCCTAAGAATATATGCATATCAATCTAATATTTTCACATATCAATTCTAATATTTCCACAGATTCCAAGCCATAAACCTGAGTGGATTGGTGTTGGTGTTGGTGAAAATGTGAAATAATCTCTCACCAAAAGTAGTGTGCTATTTGTGATTTATTCTTGTAAGATTATTTTTCCCCTGTTCATGCAAAGATATCTTTGAAAAGAAATATAGCCATGATATGTGATTGCCTCTTGACCTATAGGCAACACGAATTGCATATGGAGGAAACAGAGAATTTAGGCGAGTTGTATCACTCGATGGTGCTCTTTTTGAAAAATCTGGGACTATGAGTGGTGGTGGAAATAAGCCACGTGGTGGTAAGATGGGATCTTCAATCCGACCTGCCAGTGTTTCTGGAGAAGCTATTGCAAGTGCTGAAGATGAGCTTTCAAAGTTAAGTGAAAGCTTGAGGAATGTAAGGCAAAAAGTTTCTGAAGCAGCAATGCGTTACCGGTCGTTGGATGAAGCAATATCTCACCTGGAAATGGAATTAGCCAAAAGCCAGAAGGAGGTTTCATATCTGAGACTTGTTAAAACATTTTTTATAAATATTTTCTAAAGAGGCCTTTGTTAACTTTGAATTTGGGGTTTTAACCAGATTGACAGCTTGAAATCACAACAAAGTGATTTAAGAAAACAAATGGATTCCTTAAAGAGAGCTTCAAAGCCGAGCAAGGATGAAGTTGACCGACTGAAGGAGCTTGGCAAAATTACAACTGCCGAAGAAAAAGAAATAGACAAGCTGACACAAGGGTCAAAGCAATTGAAAGACAAGGTTAAGTTTATCCTGGTTTTGTGCTTTTCAACTGTTATATTTCAGGAGTTTGTGGTTAGTTCAATTCCGTCTATTCACATCACTTTTAACTGAGAAAAAGTTTCTTAGTTCCTGTGATATTTTCATTGTTGTAGGCTTCAGAGCTTCAGAATAAAATAGAGAATGCTGGTGGTGTACGGCTGAAAAATCAAAAGGAGAAGGTTAACAAAATTCAGTTGGTAAGCATTTAGTTGACGTAAATTCAAGTTTGGTGGCAATTAGTCAATATGGCCAATTAGTTTTACATTGGTGTGATAGAATTGATGCAACACCTAATACGTTAGAATTCCTAGCATCCCCAATTACAAATGCTCTGCTTATATCAGGATATTGACCAAAAAAGGACAGAGATTAATCGCCGCAAAGTTCAAATTGAAACGGGTCAGAAAATGATTAAAAAACTGGTAAAGGTGATAGAGGAATCTAAGAAAGAGAAGGAAAGACTTGGTGAAGAGAAAGAAAATTTGCTTTCTATGTTCAAAGTGATTGAACAGAAGGCTTTTGCAGCTCAGGAAAACTATAAGAAAACACAGGAGGTTGGTAAAATACTTTTAGTTCTCTTAAGCAAATAGGATCTTTTGATAGGCTTAGTAATTTATTTATTCATTTTTTATACAGCTCATCAATCAGCACCAAGATGTTTTGGATAAAGCAAAATCAGATTATGAAAACCTCAAGAAGGCCATGGATGAATTACGGGCATCAGAGGTCTTGTGCTGTTAAACTCATTACTGCCTTTTTCTAGTGAACCATCATTCCATAACATTGTTCAACTGGAGGTGCAGGTTGATGCTGACTACAAGCTGCAAGATATGAAAAAAGTGTACAAAGAGTTGGAACATAAAGGGAAAGGTTATGAGAAAAAGCTCTGTGATTTGGATACTGCTCTCTCAAAGCATATGGAGCAGTAAGACCTCACTCACTTATTGTACTCACAAGCCCTCCCAATCCTTGTTTCTTTTATTACTTATTTTAAACATATTTCTGCCTTTGGATCAGAATTCAGTTAGACTTGGTGGACCATGAAAAGGTTCAGGCAGCCCTGACTGATGGAACTCTTTCTGGAAGTTGTGATCTTAAAAGGGCTCTTGAGACGGTTTCACTTCTCGAAGCCCAATTGCGAGAGATGAACCCAAATCTTGATTCAATATCAGAGTATGCTTATTGTGAATTATAAAGTGAAAGATCCATCTCCTTTCTTATGTTGATGTGCTAAGAGTTTTCACCCTCACCCTCACCCTCACTAGGTATCGGAAGAAAGTGTCTCTGTACAATGGAAGAGTTGAAGAACTTAATTCTGTAACCACAGAGCGTGATGATATAAAAAAACAATATGATGAATGGAGAAAAAGAAGGTTTGATGATCTGTCATAATTACTTTTTATCTGTCCTAATTACTTATTACACTGTTAGTAGCACTTATGGTCTATTCACACTGAATAAGATTCTTTGTCACAATTGTCAGGTTGGATGAATTTATGGCTGGCTTTAATACGATATCTTTGAAGCTTAAAGAAATGTATCAGGTTGGATTATTTGAACTGAACTAATCATTTAATTCCATTTTCCAAGTTATCAGGTCAAAGTTTGTGTAAAATTTGTCATTACTTATAATTCTGCTGCAGTTAGACTGAGTTTTTATTAGGCAAGGAGTATTGCCTTGTGTTTTTATTTTTATTTTTTCTAACAAATTTAGTCTAATGTATTTGTTTAATTGTTTTCCAAATTGCTTGAACCTTCAATGAATTTGTTTACTATCGGTTTTCAGATGATCACCCTTGGAGGAGATGCAGAACTTGAGTTAGTGGATTCTCTGGATCCTTTCTCGGAAGGTGTTGTTTTCAGCGTTAGACCTCCCAAAAAAAGCTGGAAAAATATTGCAAATTTATCCGGTGGTGAAAAGGTACACCTGTGAAATATAACTTCATGCTAGTGTTAGTAATATTATAGGAAGCTAATCTAATATATTGAATTTAATGAACTGGTAATTTCAGACACTGAGCTCATTAGCCCTGGTTTTTGCCCTCCACCACTTCAAACCCACTCCACTTTATGTGATGGATGAGATTGATGCTGCTTTGGGTATGCCCTTTTCATCTTTGTCACTTGCTAATGCTGTGTCTAACTTTCCCCCCTCTGTGTTTATTGATATCTCTGTTACACTTGCCAGATTTCAAAAATGTGTCTATTGTGGGACACTACGTAAAGGAACGTACCAAAGATGCCCAGTTCATAATTATAAGGTAAGGTACTCAAAACCAAAACATGCATGGTTGTGAAATTCATGCATTCGGAACGTAATTTGGAGCTAAATTTTGTGCAGCCTTAGAAACAACATGTTTGAATTGGCTGATCGCCTTGTTGGAATATACAAGACGGATAATTGCACCAAGAGTATCACCATAAACCCTGGAAGCTTTGTCGTTAGTCAGAAAGCTGCATGATGCCTGGGCAGATGGTTAGCTCGTGAAGCATGTAAATTCTATTGTCTGTATTTTATTGTTGAATGTTTGTCCACATGTCTTGTCTTGTATAACTGCTTTTAGTGTATTGTATAAATTTGGTAGCATTTAAAGTCGACTTTTTTTTTTTTTGAATTACCCAGAAAGTGTCTATGGCAAACAATTCGTCGTATGTAATGTATTTTATTCAGGCCACAATGTTACGTTTGCTGGGTGGGGCACCAAAATTTAGCCTTCACTGATCTAGATTTAGTTTGGACATTATTACCATCTATATCAATTATCATAAATAATATAAATCTTGCAATGCCAGTCAAAATGCCAATTTGTCTGGTGCTCGAAAACCGTACTATGTTCTAGGATTGTATTTTATTTTTATTTTTATTTTTAATGTCCGCGACAAAGACCCAAACCAATGCACACGTGATTATTGTTAGATTAATTTACACCTCCCCCCGTTCTGTAGATGAGATTGATATCGTGGAAACTGGAAAACCATCCTATCGCCATTCATCATTACGTTTTGAGAAAAGCTGAGAAACAAACAAAAGTTGCAAGGCAGCAAAGCACCGATGAAGGCTTTGTCCTTTAGTGTCGTGTTGTGTACAAAACAACCTCATCTCATCTCTTAGTGGGTAAGACGGATTGGTGGGGCTCCCATTGAATAATTGTTTTTTCATTCTATATATTCCTCTTCCCAGCCGCCTCCTCCTCCTCTTTCTTCAGCTCTCGCCTTCATTTTTGGAGCTTAAACAGTTTAGAACATGGAGCCCAAATTTGATGATGGGCATTCTATTACAGTAAATCTCTTGGATGGACATAAAAAACTCCACCAAAACCAAAACATGAACCAGGATGGTAATGGTATTCACCGCCCCGCTTCCGGCCAGACATCCTTTTCCAAGACCTGTTTCAACGGCATCAATGCATTGTCAGGTACTTTCGGATCTTCTTATTAGTTTGTGGGTCTTTATGGCAATGCAAAGATGAGATGATTTGATGTGTATAAGATCCGTTGGAATAATATAATTAGATCTCTATCTTTTGTCATTTTCTGTGTTATGTGTGGTGGTGATTGATTGATTGTAAAAATGAATGTGATTATCAGGAGTTGGTATATTGTCAGTCCCATATGCATTGGCGTGTGGAGGATGGTTGAGCTTGTTCTTTCTGTTGATAATCGCGGCATCAACCTTCTACACAGGCTTACTAATTCAAAGGTGCATGGTGATGGATTGTAGGATAAAGAGCTACCCAGACATTGGTGAGCGTGCGTTTGGAAGTGTGGGAAGAACAGTGGTATCCATTGTTATGAACTTGGAGCTTTACATGGTGGCCACGGGTTTCTTGATCCTAGAAGGAGATAATCTGGACTACTTGATACCAAATTTGAAGTTAGAGCTATGGGGGATTGTGATTGGTGGGAAACCCAGCCTGGTTATTTTGATTGGGCTGCTAATTCTGCCCACTGTTCTGTTGAACGACATGAGCGTTCTTTCTTACATATCTGCCAGTGGAGTAATAGCTTCGGTTACGCTTCTGGGGTCAATGCTGTGGGCTAGTGCGACAGATGGAATTGGTATTCATGCAGATGATGCCCTTGTTTATTGGAAGGGAATCCCCACTGCTGTTAGCCTTTATTCCTTTTGTTACTGCGCTCATCCCGTTTTCCCCACTCTTTACACTTCCATGGAAAATCCCACACAGTTCTCAAAGGTATGTATATGGCTATGGCTATGGCTATGGCTTACACTGCGTTTGAATCGCTCATCTGGTTTTGTTGGGCAGAAGTCAGTAAAGTGCCAAATCTAACACCATGTAACTAGGGGATTGTTGGGCGGAGGTTCAGTAAAGGACCAAGTCCAACACCCTGGTTCTCGAAAATGTGTGGTGGTTTTTATTGGGCAGAAGCCAGTAAAGTGTCAAATCTAACACAATGTGACTAGGGAATTGTTGGGAGGAGGCAGTTAAGGACCAAGTCCAACACCCTGGTTCTCGAAAATGTGTGGTGGTATAAGGAAATAAAGTTGGGCATTTGCTACCAGCTATAGCTTTTGGTGTAGCTGTAAACGTTTGATCCTAACAAGTGGTATAAGAGTCTAGTCACATGTTAGAGAGTGGTATAAGAGTCTAGTCACAGGTTAGAGAGTGCCAAGGTCCTCGAAAACGTGTGGCAGTGTAAGGAAATAAAGTTACGTTTTTCTACTAGCTATACCTTTTGGCGTAATGGTAAGCGTTTGATCCTAACAAGTGACATCAGAGTCTAGTAACGGGTTAGAGAGAGCCAAGTCCAACACCTTGACTCTCGAAAATGTACGACAATATAAGGAAATAAAGTTACGCCTTTGCTACTAGCTATAGCTTTTGGCGTAATGGTAAGCGCTTGATCCTAACAGGTCTCTTTTCTTTGCTTTGCTTGTAGGTTCTGATTCTGTGCTTTCTAGCCTGCACCATTAGCTATGCATCAATGGCCATTCTGGGCTACCTTATGTTCGGTCCAGACGTGCTATCTCAAGTGACCCTAAACCTCCCCACCCATAAAATCAGCTCCAAAGTGGCCATCCTCACCACACTCATCAACCCAATAGCCAAGTACGCCTTGATGGTGAAACCGCTAGTGAATGCGATGGAGAATTTGTCCGCATCCCATTGCAACAAGAAGGGGTGCAGCCTGGTGATCAGAACCAGCCTGGTAATCAGCACAGTGATTGTGGCCGTAGCCATTCCCCTTTTCGCCTACTTAATGTCACTGGTGGGGGCGTTCTTGAGCATAACGGCATCCGTTATCCTGCCTTGCTTGTGCTTCTTGAAGATTTCTGGGATATACCGCACACTGGGGGTGGAGATGATAATGGTGTCTGGGATTATGGTAATGGGTGTAGCTATCATGGTTGTAGGTACTTACACGTCTGTGCTGGAAATTTATGGGCATTTGTAGACCAAATTGCTCTTGATGATAGGTGGTTAGAAAGGTGTTTGGCGTTTCTCGGTTGTACAAGTTTTTTTTTAACATTTTGTTTTGGTTTGTTTTGTGTACGTGGAAGTCATATTGTAAGCCATGTTAACATGATCTTAACTCTGAGGGTGTTTGGTTGACATAATTTCAATTCAATTATAATGTAATTCAGCAGAGCTAAAAAGTAAAAATTATAGCGTTGGTTGAAAGGTATTGTAATCCTGTGAAATTATAATTTTCACTATTTGTGAAATTGTAATTTATGTGTTCCCCTAGTAAAATTGCAATTTATGTGTCTCCCTATGAATTGGAGTTCAGAAAAGAAAAAAGACTATTATTATTATTATTATTATTATTATTATTATTATTATTACTACACAAGGACATTTGAGTCTTTATATCACTTCTTCCTTTTTCATTTTCAATAATTCTATTCATACCTTTTAACCAAACGACATGTTAAGTCACATTTTGTTGTTTAGTTTTGGCTAGGGCAATTTATATCATGGATCAGGGTTCACATAGTATTATAGACCGTGAATCAAACGACAAGGTATATAATTCATACTCGTAAGGTACAAAATTTCATAATACAAGACACAAAAAAAAAAAAAAAACACAACATAGGACACATACACATATTATATATTTACTTATTTTTCAAATTTAATTTATGTGCATAATTTGAGTCCATAAACATAGAATTTCACAACACAAGACAAATAAATTCATAACATGAGACATAATTACTAATTTGTTTCAAGTATAGAATTCATATTCTTAAGTTATAGAATTTCATAACACAAGAGACAAATTAAAAACTCACAATATAAGACACATACACATGTAATATATTTACTTATTTTTCAAATCTAATTTAGATACATAATTTGTGTTCATAACCAGGGGCAGATCCAGAAATCTTCGTTAGTGAGGGCGAAAGATTAAAAACCAATGAGATATTTTGAAAAAAAAAAATACATAGATGCCGAGTCATAAATATTGTTAATTAGGATGAAAATTTAAAATACATCAAAATAAGATAAAAAAAATATTCAAAACAAATATGAAATATAATATAATTAATTAATTATGAAAAAAACACAAGCTACAAATAAAAAATTCAATTAGAATTAATCTCACTATAAATTCATGTTGTAGGATTTAAACCCCTAACATTTAGAAAAAAATCAAATATCTTACTATCTAAGTTAACTCATCTTTTGATTAAGTTTATGTAAATTTAGCATTTATAAATAAATTAACTATGTATACACAAGAGACCTATACGTACACTATATATAAATGTGATGGGAGCACGGGAGTGGGGGCAGCTGCCCCCGTTGTAGCTCCGCCAATGTTCATAACCACAGAATTTCACAATACAAACACATAAATTCATAACATATGACATAATTATAAATTTGTTTTAGACTCAAAATTCATATTCTTAAAATACAAAATTTCATAACACAAGACACAAAAGCTCATATTTACAGTACACTGTGAATCCTAATACATGGTGATAGTACTAATTCACCGGATGTCGGTTGCATGTACTAAATATATAAAATATATGTAAACAAAGAATGAATCAAGAAGAAACAAGAAATAGTTAAACCCTCCTTTTATTAATGTTCTGCTCTTTTCTAGCTATAGAGAGAAAGAAGAGGATATGTAGAGAGGGAGAGAGAGAGCCCAAAGAGAGGACCCAGAGATGGCCAAAATGGTCTCCTCTCACTTAGAGGGCTAGAAGCCCTTTTTATAGGCCTAAGGTGGCGGGTTTGACCCATCTCGGGTTTGACCCGTCACCTTTGACCCCGACCTGTAGGCCAAAAATCCGAACCACGAGACCCCGACCCGACCACACACGGACCCTGGGTATATAACTTATCATAAAGCCCCCACAGCCCGTGCTCTGACGACGAGCTAACGAGGAAGGGTTCGGGCTGGAAAAACTGGCTACACGGTCCGTGACATATGCTGGTTGCCTCGTTAAAAAACCTTAGGCTAACAAAAAACCCAGTGGGAAAAACTTTAGCCGAGGGAAAAAGAGTACAACGCTAAACACAGTCTAGTGGACCGAAAGGGAGCGCCCGACCCAGTGGTCGGACTTGCAACGCAACTTGCGAAAGGTCGAGCCCAACCGGTTCAAAGACCGAATTGCCGGGTACGACTGGGATCTGGAGATCCATCTAACCAACTACGGGGTTGGATCCGCTTGCGACCGAGAGATTGGATTAACTCGGGCGAAACGCTACTCGGGCGAAACTAAAAAGCAATTCGGGCGAAAAGAACGTGATTCGACCGTTTTGACCGACGAACGCGCTACTCGGGCTGGCGCAGCCCCCTCTCCCGTAGGTGCGAGAATCGTCAGCACAGGGGAGCGGATACGACGGGTTGCCGATCGGGAAACGATATCGCGGTCGGGAAATGACTCGACCGGGTCCGCGATGCGAGTGCACCCGGCTACTATGTCGACGATCAGGAACGATATCGCTAACAAGCGGTACATACACATCGCTAAAAAAGCGGTAAAACATCACACAAAGAAGGTAAACACATCGCTGAAAAGCGGCATTGCCAAAAGGCGGTAAACGCATCGCTGAAAAGCGGCATCGCTAAGAAGCGGGGTAAATACATCGCGCGGCATCGCCTAAAAGCGGAAACAACATCGCTAAAACGCGGCATCGCTAAGAGGCGGAATACATCGCGCGGCATCGCCTAAAAAGCGGAATCAAAATCGCTAAAACGTGGCATCGCTAAGAGGCGGAATACATCGTGCGGCATCGCCTAAAAGCGGAAACAACATCGCTAAAACGCGGTATCAACCGGTATAACCGGACTCATAGCCCCGGTGGTGGCAATGCTGACCTAACCGGTCATAGAGTGCCAGTGGTGGCGAAGCCAACCTAACTGGTCTTTAGAAATACCGGAGGCGGCAGTGCCAACCTACTCGGTCTAACAAGGCGCGTGGCTCACTTTTCCTTCACGTCGGAGGTGGCAATGCCGACCTGCTCGAGGTGGAAAAGCGCGTTGGACGACCGGGCTAATAGCCTCCAGGCGACCCCCACGCCAGCATCGCAGAGTGCCAGTGGTGGCGAGGCCAACCTAACTGGTCTTTAGAAACACCGGAGGCGGCAGTGCCAACCTACTCGGTGTAACAAGGCGCGTGGCTCACTTTCCCTTCTCGTCGGAGGTGGCAATGCCGACCTGCTCGATGTGGAAAAGCGCGTTGGACGACCGGGCTAAAAGCCTCCAGGCGACCCCCACGTCAGCATCGCCTTATCCGGGCAGACGGGTTGAACCGGCCGCTCTAGGCCGACCGGGCGCATGGCCTCAGGCGACCCACATACCAGTAAGCCGACCGGGCGCATGGCCTCAGGCGACCCACATATCAGTATGTTACCCGAGCAGACGATTTGAACCGGCCGCTCTAGGTCGACCGGGCACATGGCCTCAGGCGACCCACATACCAGTAAACCGACCGGGCATATGGCCACAGGCGACACACATATCAGTATGTTATCCGAGCAGACGATTTGACCCGGCCGCTCCTGCTACGACCGCCGCCCACCCTGTCCAGACCCCACTGTCGGACGCACTTATGTATAAGGTCATGTGATAGTGGAATTAACGGCCGGGCGAACTCAGGGCGTGGTCTTGCTGTTTGGCTATTGCCCTCGCCGGCTTTAACCGGAAAAAAAATATCGGCTTTAACCGGAAAAAAGTTTAACGACATTGCGGTCGTCGGGCTATTGCCCTCACTGATCGGTGACCGGAAAGAAGTTTAACGACATTGCGGTCGTTGCTGGAGCCTCGTCCGATTGGTCCGGAGACCCAAAATTGCCTACGTGATAAGGCTTGGTGCCGGGACTTTTCCCGGGCCTAACAATGCCGATGGTGGCTAGGCCAACCTGACCGGGATCTCAGTGCCGGTGGTGGGAATACCAACCTAACCGGGCTTGGGGTTCCGATGGTGAAAATGCCAACCTAACCGGGCTCTAAGTGCCGGTGGTGGGAATACCAACCTAACCGGACTTGGGGTGCCGGTGGTGAAAATACCAACCTAATCGGGCTTATTACAAATAAATTCTAACTATTACAAATTTTTCTAGGTACAAGCCCATAACTTAATACAATTTGTCGTTGGGCCTATACCACTTACAAGCTAAATATGCTACGGCCCACTTTAATATGTGGGCCTGACTATACAATTTGTAATTTTAAAAATTACATAAATAAATTATTAACTAGGCCAATAGCACTGGAACTTTCCAACGTGTTGAACGCATGCCAGCCACTACCCCCTTGTGCCTTGCTAGCTGGCCAATGAATGAGAGAGGAAAACAGTCGGGAGACGACCGGTGAGAAAAAGTTGCTCGGGGCGATCGGGAACGCGGATCTCATCAACTACGACCGGACATCTGCCCAGCTACTGCATTAGTCGGTGATGATTTTTGTATGGCAGACAAGTGTCAGAAGGAGGCACTCAACATGTTCCCACTTTCAATACTTCCACTGCCTAGGCTTTCTCAATTCACCGCCACCTTCCACTAATCACATTGCATGCAAAATGGACTTCAGCTTTTTCCAAATTCAAGACCACCATCTTGCCCCTCTACCCCACCTTCTTCTTGTGTTTTCTTTATGAACAACAAGAAGAAAATACACAGGAAAAAGTATAGGATTGTTACGAATGGAGCTCTTCTGGATCATCCACATGCAGCCTGCGCTATTACAGCTTCATTACAATAAGCTTTTCGGGCAGCAACGAACGGCGACAGCAACAAGCTCTCTTGATCTCGGCTTCATCTCTGTCTCGTGATTTGAGTTGATTCTTGTCGTTTCGGGACCCGACTTCAACTTTTTGCATTTCCCTGCACGTTGATAAGCGGATGACGACGACAGCGCCGGCATCGCGGCGGAGGGTGCCGGTGGTGCATAACGAAGATGATGACGATGAAGAAGCTGGCGGCGGTCACGGTGGTTGCATGCATTCGCTGCATTTCCTTCAACCCGGAACTACCTTCTACCAACATGCCCTCCACTTAACTCGACGGCGATCAGTACGCCGGAATTCCAGTCAGAGAGCGTTTAGGGAGGGGTCCGGAACTGAAGTCACGAATTGTGATGATGATGATGTCGACTTCGCATCTGATACAGAGGCTGAACTGGGTGTTTACATTGGATGCAATTACAGATGATAAAACCTATATACATCTACTA